AAAAATTTTTAAAAAATCTGCAGATCCAAAGGATACGTTCAAGAAATACTTGGCAATTTTGATCTAGTCCAACCCCTTGCTTTGGGGAAGATGGATAAAATAAAGCTCATAGAACGATTATTTTCATTAGCCACCTCGATTACAAGTCAGATTTATTGACAACCAAAATAAGAATTCTAGTGTACTTTGAAAGATTTCCCATTTTACATAAGTGAAGTATTCCATGAAATATTAAATTAATATTCATTGACAGATTTAAAGGCCTGTGGCTTCTGTTATCAATACTGTAAAATACTATAGTGTAAAAGTATTTTCTACATAGCACACCCTACATCACATTTGAGAAATCATCTAAAATACAGATTTTTTTTTGGCATTGGAGTGCTACCTACAAGGTAGGTGGTTTTTTTTAATCCCTGAGCAGCTCCAAAGGAGTAAGATGAGGTTCTCTGCTTCCATAAAGATTTACAGTCTTTAAAACCATAAGGTGCAGTTCTACTGTTTTATAGACTTGCTATGAGTTGGAATTGTGGGGTTTGTTATCAAATTTTAAAATATTAAAAAAAACATTATGAAAAGTAGGTATATGTTTAAATTTGTCTTTACAAATTAATATACCTTTGAAATATCTTGTACAGTTACAAAATTGAGGAATAAAATTACATAACTGTTCTAATTATGTTGCTGTGCTTTTGTGGCTGATTTTCCCAAGATTTGACATACATTAAAATTTTAAATTTTATTGCACATTTAATCAACTTCAGCAGTAACTCATTTGAATTTCTTACCCAATATTCTGACCAAGAGCATAAAACTTGTCAAGTAGTTTTACATTTCAACAAGTTTTTGCATTAAAAATGTATGGGCAGTAAGGCAGAATTGTCTTTGGCTATTTGAAATTTATTTTTAATTTTTTGTTTACATGTAGGTATGCAAAGTTGAATGCAAAGTGGTTTAAAACTAATTTTCTATTTAGCTAAATGCTTTCAAACATTGGGCACAACAAAGTCCCACAAAGGCTATCTTACTTATAGATAATATCTATAAATTACTTATAGATAATATGAATTGCTTACGTAGTCATACTTAACATTATCAAATATGGGATGGGATAATATGCAAAGTAAAAAATTTAAAAGTATTTACCTTATAATGACAAAAACAGAAAAAAGGGAAAGAAGGAAGATATACCACAGAACACAGACTTACTTCATTAACACAGATTTTTATTTTATTTTAACTTTGCATCCTGAGATAATAAAATTTTATAACTGACAAATGAACAGTGACAGAAGCAGCAGTGAAAGTTTCAGAGAGGCAAGTATCCTTCATTTTGGCACAGCTGTATATAAGTTGAGTCCTTTCATGGGAGTCACGCCAGTACTCATGGGGGAAAAATTGAATTCGTTTCACAGTTTATACAACAATGCAAGATGCATTAATAGTCTTTGTTTTGATGGACATGACCACTATTATTATTTTTTAAGCTGTTCCAACAGGAATCCACTGTCAAAAAAGAAAAAGAAATCCTAGACTTTTCAATCAGATATTTGGATTTATGTCCAATTTCTACCTCTGTGGATGTCCTGTTCTTGCAGCCATGGCTCATATTTGTCCATAATTATTCCAAGGATGGTAAATTAGCTCGTAGATCATATTATTTCACACACTGATAACCTGTTTCAAACTCAAGAATTCACAACAATTTTAAACAGTATTTGCTTACTAGAAAAATGGGAAATTAAGTTAAAGCAAAAAAAACCCCAAACAAAATAAGCAGGAATAAAAGTAACATTGAAGAAATTATTGCCTTGACTCATGATGTTGAGTTGATACACAAAACAACTTTAACACTCAGAAATTGATATTTAGTCCAATGCTAGAACACAAAATAACATTTTCCACATTTGCAATCCTGGGTATATGTGTCATTTATACATATTTACCCAAATAATCAGCTCAGTTATACTGAAATAGAAAAAAGAGAAAACAATTTCTAAACTAAAGTTATATAACCCAAGTTAGGCAACACCCCACCCCCCTGCCCCACATCGTTCCTTGACATTCTAGCACTTCATTATTTATGGACAGGATAAACAATCTATGGAGAGGCTCAAATACTCTTAGATCCCTTGAAACAGTGGCTCCAAAGATTTTCACAGTTTATTATCCACTCCATGTTTTCAAGTATGTTAGTTACAAAACACACGTGATAATAGGCTTTCTCAACATTTTTATTAATCCAAGGCATAAGCTTCTGATCAACATGTGATTACTAGTGTTAATAGATTTTAAAAAATTGAAATGCCAGGAAATTCAATGTTTTAGTTGATTTGAGCAGCAGGAATATTATGGGTAAATGTATGATTTCTAGTATACTTTTGAAAGATTGAAAAAGACTTAGGATGTTCCCACTATCTTGAGCTGCCCCAAATTGAGAACCATCTATTTCACCTCTTTAAATCCAGTATTAACACAATACCCATGTCCAACACATATGGATTTATTACAGATCTGTTAATGGAAAGTAGAACAACTGTAGCACTCATTTCTGTAGGGTTCTGACTAAGAAAGAAAACAACATTGATTTAGAGGAGTCTATTAAGAGATCCAATGTATTATTCAGTCTTCGTCAAAAGTACACTAACATGAAAAAAAAATCCTCAATTCCCAGGTGAGGTAGGTCCAAATTATTGTCCTCACTTCAACAAGGAGGGCAACAGGTACAGAAGAATCAAGCAGTAGAGCTAAGAATGAAACCAGAAGTGACTTGGGTTTGAATGCCATACCACTTTCCTTTCCACCTACTATTATCATCCCGCCCCCGTTAGATCTTCTCAAGAGCGTGGAACGCTTTAAGAGTTCCTAAAAAAAAAAAAAAAAAGAGTTCCTGAAACAGATTCTGGATAGGCTATGAAACTCTTGTCAAAGTGGGTCCTTCTATATCTCCACTGCTGTCACAGCTATATTCTTGCCAGGATACCACTAGGCAGCTGCATAGTCAAATTCCACAGAGACCAAGCCCATGACCTTTAGTCTTCAATTTCTAAAGAAGTTACATTCATTCTTATGGCCATGGAGGTCTAGGAGGCATCAGGTTCTTTGAGTCTGTGTGATATGAATACACATCAACCAGCTGTCAGGTGGCAAATAATGAACTCTGTTTTACTGTGTACAAGGCACTGTAAATATTTCCACCAAGGGTAGGATATCTGAGAGTAACCATTCTGATATCTTTCAGAATAAAAATTTCCAAAGGGATTCCTAGAATCACAGACTGTTAGGTGATCTGGACTTTCTGTCAAGTGCTAGCTTCAATGCCATGATTTTATAGATGAAGATATGAGAATTTAAGTGGTGCCTGGACACAATATGAGATCATTTCTTCATATAGTATGGACTTGACACAGGTTACAGAAAATGGATCATAGTCTGATTGCCAACTTCAAAATAAAAAGGAATCAAGAAAGGATAATTTGGAGCAAGATAAGGTTAATTGTAAGTGTGAGAGTATTCTTAAATATAATCATGTAATAGACAAACAAGGGTGAGCAAAACCTACTCCTTTTCAAAAAAAATTCCCAACACTTCACCATTTAAAGGATTCTGAACAATTTGACATTGTTGCAAGAATTTTTTAAAGCAAAGGAGTAAGCATAAGATTTAATTTAAATGAATTTGAGCATTCTATAATCAAGCTAACAAAAAAGTATTTCCACTATGTGAAACGATTCCAGTTAATCAGATGTGCATAATTTCGATATCGTTTTACAACAAAATGTAAATACTAATGAAATAGTGTTTTGGGACTTTATGTTCAAGTAGTGAAGATCTATTTCTTTTAAATGGCAGTTTTTTTTACAAACCAAGTTAAAATGCTAATGATTTTCTTAAAGGTCTCATAAATTTGAAAAAGTCCTTATTTATTTAAAGGCTTACAAATGTCATTGAGCTATACTTCAGTCATGAAGAATAAAATTAAACTTTAAAAATGGTAGAGAAAGTAAATATTAAGTCAATTTGATTGCCGAATAGTCAGTACAAGGAGGCTTCAAAAAGCTTGTGGAAAAATTCCATTACCTTTTAGTTTCATCTTTCCAGAAACTTTATTTTCTTCACAAACTTTTGGACCCCCTTTTGTTTGTGCAATAAATATTTATGTAGATCTTAGAACTTCAAAGAGCACCGTCCTTCCAGAACCATGCAAAATTACATGTTGAGTAGTATTCAGACTACACTAGTTCATCTGATTGACTGATGTTGCTGTTAGGTGCCAAACAAGTCCATTCTTACAGAGTGACCCCACGTGAGCGAGAAACTGTCTCATCGGGTATTTCTTCTAAGCTGTAATCTTTATGGGAGCAGCTCATCGGGTCTTTTCTCCTTCTTAGCCTGGGGGTGAGTTTTAACTACACCTGTCAATTAACAGGGAGTTCTAAAATATCTCATGATTAGGCGAAAGAAGGAAATAGACATTAAATAAAAACTAAAGAACTATAATATGCTAGTGAAATACTCTTTTCCCTATTTGAAAAGAACGGTTTTATTTCTTTATATACTTTAACTAACAAATTTTTATTGTAAATTAGCTGAGGGGAAAGCTAGCTTTTAATCTAATGATATCCTCATGGATTTACTCTGCTTCCTTTAGCATAGTATGTTATCTTTGTTCTAAAAAGACAAGGCACTTTTCCATCTACAGTATTTCTAAAGTTTGACTAAAATGGTTTCTTTCTTAAGTTAACACAGAGAGTAAACAAAACTCAAACCAGTTACCACAAGGTCAATTTTGACTTCTGGCGGCTCCATGTGTGCTACAGAAGAACTGTGCTCCATAGCGATCTTTCAAAGGAGAACGCGTTTTCACGAGATCCAAGTAGGACCTTCTTTGGAGGCACCTGTGGGTGGATTCCAATGGCCAATCTTTCAGTTTGTGGCTGAATGTTTAACCATTTGTGTCATTCAGGGACTCCAACATAGAGGGGAAGAGGGAGTGAAGGTTAGAGGGCATGTCCAGGATGAAGTTCATAAATCTATATGTGACTTGTCCATATTTGTTAATAATACTGCATCTGCTTCTCAACAAAACAAGTTAAAAAAAATGACCAATTAAGCCAACACGTTCATCCAGAATTTGAGGCCAAATGAGAAGCATTAGACCATTAATTATAAATAAAAGGTGGAACTCAGAGTGGAATGAAGATGAAATGAAATACATCAGGAATCTGAGTCCTTCCTCACCGGAGCCCACACCTCACTATAAATAAATGTGAAGCTGACAAGAGTTAGATCTGCTTTAGTCACACTTTGGCCGTTTAATAGGGCAATGGAGATGGCGATACAAGGAAGGAAGTTAAAGAATGCTTTTAACGTGTAATGACAAAGGCTTGTGAGAGGTATATGCTTCGGCAAATGTGCATGCCAGTTAATCTGGAGACTACCATAACACGTTTTATAAAGAAATAGTAAGTGACAGAGAAATTCAAAATTACTTTCTTTAATCTAAAAAACCATTTCCAGAAAAATACTTTACTAACCTGATGGAAAAATATAAGCATGTTCTATCCTAAGACTAAACAAAAGGGTGTTGAAGGGTTGGGTGGTTAGTTACCGCAGTGTGCTTTGTCATTTTAGCATTAACTGCTCTCAGTTTTACTCAAAGAATACAAATACCCCAAAGCACCCCAAAACATCCCACGGGCACCAATCAGCTCTCTCGAAGGAAAATCCGTTTGAAAAAGCAGTCATCTCAATGAGACAAAAGAAAACGGAGTCTTTTTTTGGGTAGTTCAAGAAAATAACATTAGCTAACTAGCATAATGAACAATAAAAGAATATTAAAAAGTGATTAGAGTCCATTTAAAAATTAAGTTTACATATGCTGTCAAATGGCTTCTCTGATTTGTACTACTACTGTCTCTAGAATTGTATGCTGCCACCTCTAGATACACTCTAATGGGAAACAATTGATTACTTCTTGCTGTTCTTTGAGCAAAACCCATGTGTGATTTACACATGGCGGAAAAAGTTACCATGACCACCACATGACCAAATTTTAAGTTTCAAGGGGAAAAAAAAGCATGACGTTTTTAAGGGTTGACACTTAAAAATCAATTGTTTTATCAGTTATAATTACAAATGTTATACTATATTGGAAATCAATTTTGATAATAAGGTATCAGTTTAAAGCAAAGATCTGATGCTACTAGCTGGGACACCAGCTCCAGGTGCAATTTCCCCCTAATCTTAACTGTAAAACATGAGAATTGATATACTTTTTCAAAGGCTTCCTCCTTGTTAATAAAAATACACTTTCGATTTTACAGCAGGCAGACAGATGACATTGGCAGCTATACACAGTATATTAATAGAGATGTTGGGTGTCTGAGTGGCATAGAGAACATGAGACTGTACAGCGGAAAGTGGAAAAGTTTTCACCTATCAATTATAACAATATAACAAATGGTGTCTTTTTTCTCTCTTCTTATTTTACTGGTCAAAGACTACCAATTCCAAATGAAGCATAATTTTTTCAAGTGTCTTAAAATACAATCCAGCAATATCAGTAATAACAAACAAACATCTACAGGTAGATATGAGGGGCTTCAAAAAGTTCTTGGAAAATTCCATCATCTTTTAATTTCATTTTTCCATGAACTTTTTGAAGCCCCCTCACATAGGCAGACATGCGAGCTGAATAGGTATGGTAGGTCAATGGGCTATACCCACAGCCATACGTATAAGTTTAGCAGAGGATATTTCTACATAAGTATTTGTGTGTGTTATAAAGATATCGATTTACATAGTAGAACACAGAGAGGACAAAATTATGAAAACTTTAGTCATAACCAAAAGCTTTGTGGGAATGATGCGTCATTGGGGTTGGGGACTTAGGACTTTAGGACCACAGTCTAGGGAAACAACTTTGTCAACTGGCAATACATTGTTTACAAAGACAATGTTCTATACCTTTCTGTGATGTGTAGTGCCTGGGGCCTTGCTAACAGTGTTTAAGAATCAACTATTGATAGGAAAGAAGAATGAAGAAAATCAAAGATTCAAGGAAAGAGTTAGTTCAAAGGAATAATGGACCTTGCAAACCACAGTCTCTAATACCCTGAGACCAGAAGAACTAGATGGTGCCAGGTTATCACTACTAACCACTTTGATTGGGACCACTGAAGGTCCTAAAGAGAATGGAGAAAAATATAGATGAAAATTCAAAATTGTAAAAAAGTCCAGACTTACTGATCTGAGAGACTGGTGGATCCCCCAAGACTGTGACCCTCAAACACCCTTCAAGCTTGGAAATGAATCCATTCCAGGGATCGCTTTGCAGCTAAACAACAGATAGGCTTATAAAGTGAACAGCAACACTTGGGTGGAATGTATTCCACAAAAACCATAAGAGCAGCATGATCCCAAAAAACAAAGCTCAGAAGGCAGGAAGGGGCAAGGAAAAAAAGGACTAATGGAAATGGAGAACCCAGGGAAGGAAGCAGAAAAGTGGTGTTACATGGAGGGAATTGCATCTAATGTTAGGACACGGGATATGTATACGTTGTTTAATGGAAAATTAATTTGCTCTGTAATCTTTCACCCTTATCACAATTAAAAATAAGTCTTGACCTTGTATGAAGAAATGATTGTTCTATTTACTGGGATGAATATTACCTAAAAAGTTTACTAAAAGACCAAAGTAAGGTGATAAAAATATTCAGTCCTAGGTACTTCAGATTTATTTTTAGCACAATGATTTACACGTAATTCCCACCAAACCCAAACCAAGTGCCAGTGAGTTGACTCCTACTCATGGAGACCCCGTAGAACTACTCCAATAGGGTTTCTGAGATTGAACTACTGACCTTTCAGCAGCTCAAAGTGTAATCCACGGCACCATCAAAATGCCTCAGTACTGCCCCCTACATATAGGCTTACATGAGTCATTGCATGAAAATTAACATAATATAAATATTAATTATATTAAAAATCAAATACTAGATTAATTGCGAAGAGAAGTACCTACAAATGAATGAAATGGACATGGGTGGTGAAATTATAAAGTAAAAACACTTTTGCCTACACATATCTCTTTTTTCCTAAATTATAGCCAACTGCTTATAAAAGATCCACGGAAAGAAGATTGAAAAATTTTTTTCCATTCTGAATGAACCACCATATCTTCTCTTGGTGTAGGTTCTCAATTAGCTCTCTTTCCAGAAAGGGGGTTGCAGTGACTTTCATTGGGCTCTAGACGCTCACTCCCCGCCAGCCAGCTGATTCCAATTCATAGCGACCCTATAAGACAGGGTAGAATTGTCCCTGTGGGTTTCCAAGACTGTACTTTGTTATGGGAGTAGAAAGTCTCCTCTTTCTCCCTTGGAGCAGCTGGTGGTTTTGAACTGCTGACCTTGTGGTTAGTAGCCCAACTTTTAACCCACTGTGCCACCAGGGGTCCTTAGGACTCTCCTGGGGCAATTAAAATGTCAACATCCTCCTGAAATGACAAAACTGTATATTTTCAAATGAAAGAAAGGGCACATAAATGAAAATAAATGAAGAATGAATGGTGTAGCTGTGAAACATGTCAGATGCCAAAGGAATTCTTTTGGAGGCAGAGTGGGGGGCAATGTGGGGGGCAACCTGGGCCTGTTTAATTAAATGACAAAAAAGTTCAATTTAAACATTTCAATTGAAAAAAATTCCAATTTTAATCCACTTGTTACAAAGGGCAATCCTACATTATACCTGACATTTTAAACATACTTATTATGGCTCTGCCATAACACAGCATGTTAATAGTTTGTACATTCAAAAGGATGCTTGCAAATTTCATTTATATTAAAATCTATGCAGAATTGTTGGCAATACATTAAAAGTAATATCACATTCTGTAAACCATGGCATACCACATCTTACATTATGCAAAGAGGTAATATTTACAAGTCTTCAGGGGTTTAAATATCTTATGCATTAACATTAGTGATAATTTAGCAAAGTGCTGTTATTTGAATGTCCTTTAAAAGCACACTAGAGCAAAAGCATTGCTAAAAGCTACCCAAAGCTTATTTAAATATATCCAGTAAGGGATTACAGAGCACAAGTAGTCTAGAGAAATGATGTGTAGTTAGAGATAGTGTGAAAATTGTAAGGCAGCATGCTAGAATGAGTTTTTATTTTCTTTTTTAGCATCAGCATTGATGTTCTATCTTTAGTGGCATATATATGTGTGTATATATACATACATATATATAAGTATATATATATGTACACACACACACACACACACACACACACACACACGGACTTCAAAATGTTTGTAGAAAAATTCCATTATCTTTTAATTCCATTTTTCCATTAACTTTTTGAAGCCCCTTGTATGTGCATGTTTATTTAAAACTCAAGAGTACAAAACACAAGCATCAGTTAACATAAAAATGTGCAAAATTTCTTCTTAAATAAACAAAAATAAAAGAGCAAGGAGAATAGTCTACCAATATAAAGAATAATTTGAACAGAGCAAAGAGACCATCTTCATTCAAAAATCATCTACAAGGCACTAAGGGTAGGAAATGACAGGTAACACAGAAATGACTGAATAAAATTCTTCAGTCAGGTCGGAATATGGGATATTTTGGTACGAATTCTATTAGTATTACCTGTAAAATAAAAATACACAAATAAGAATATAATGACAAAGTAATTTTCATTAAATGTAACTTATGTATAGTCATAAAATCTATAGTCATTCCTCACAGGACTACATTTTGATGAAATTTGGTTATATGAAATTACCACAATTTATTTTTAGATTGGAAATTAAATTAGATTGGTAAACATAAACATTTATGGTAGTTAATAGTGTTTATTGCTGGATTAATAGTGAGTATTTGTTTAGGTTCAGAAAAGCAGGCACTATTACATTGTCATGCTCCCTCCTTATTTTTAGAAAACGATTAAAATTGAGCTATAAAGGTATGAAAGGATACTTTTATTGATATTACATCTATATAGTTTTCAATTAATGTAGCAGCTGGTATTGGTTGAGTACTGTCTTCCACAAGTAATTTGTGAAAAAAAAAGTGTCCAAATGGATTGATTAAAACATTTTAATAACAGAGAGGTTTGGAAATCAAATAATAATAACCTGAGATATTTTTGAGTGTTTTATCTAAGTGAATTTTAGATTTGGAGTCATTTGTATTTTTTTGAAAACTATTCAAAGGAGAGAGATGATCATTATTTATTAGGTGCAAATGTTTTATTATTAAACATATACCACATGTCAGCAACATGGATTTGAGTAGACTTAATGTTCTTTAAAATACTAATTAGACAGAATTGATCACATTGAATATATCCAAATCTATGTTTTATGAAAAACTCGCATAGTCTTCAGTAACAATTTAGAGCATATAGTTACTTTAATTTAAGTTAGCCAAGAAAAAGAGAGAAATATGAAATGAATGCAGAAATTTTAAAAGTCGATATTTTATGCAAGGTTTATAAAGATTACATTTAGAAATATTTTGTTCAACAGCAGCTATTCCCATTGCCATATTTTAAGGTTCGCACCTATGTTAAAAAGAAACTAAGGTATTGTAATGTTTCTCATCTGAGAATATTAACTGGGATTTTTTAATATCTAAAGCATTGCTAACTTTCAAAATATTGTATAGGTGCTACAAAATTTAAAGAAGGTAGAAATATCTATATTCCAACTGACAAAATTTCAACCCGAGGAGAAAAAGGTAAAAAGAAAATCTTAAAAAATGATGAAGAGAAAAATTTTTATAGTTAAGATGAAATCTAAATAGTATAATGAAAAACAGGTATATACTTACATACTCCATCATATTGCTAGTTTCACATTTCCTTTTAGTCAATTTCCAATGCAAAGCAAGCTAAGAAAGTAAAAATTTTCATCAGTATTTTGATATTAAGTTGTATTAATGAAAACCTATATATATGACTAAGTCACAAAGGCAATCCAGGAATAAATATAAGATGCAAAACACATCATTTAAAAATCTTTGTAAAGAATACATACTAAAAAGTATTACTTCTCCAATCCATTCTTGGCCTTAAAATATTCTATTTAGTCTTTATTAATTTTTTCAATCTAATAATGCAAATATATAAATGGAAAACTTACCTTGTGATACAATCTGTTATTTTCCCATTCTAATAACTTCTGAATTGATCTTCTGGTCTAAGAGAAAAGATCAACATTTATTACAAGATGAATTCTGGAACTATAAATTATGTGTGTATATATACATATATGTTTTATATCTATATTTTTCCGTTTACTTGTAAGATCACATTAAGACCACAGAAACCCCTTGCCATAGAGTCAATTCCAGTTCATAACAAGACTATGCATATGTACAAAGAGAAAGCATGTATGTCAGTCAGCCGATCCCTGGTCAGCCCAAATAATTAAGTGCTTGACTACTAGCCATAAGGTTCGTGGTTCAAATGAAGGTATTTCATTTGATGAACCTGGTGATGTTTCTAAAAGTTCACAGTCTTGAAAACAAAGTTCTACTCTGTCACTAAAGGGGTTGTCCATGAGGTGGAATCAACTCAGTGGCAACTAACAAGAGTAACATATATATGAGAAGTCTTTAAACAGTTTTAATTCTGCGTTTTTCAATGAACTTTTTGAAGACTCCTGGTACATTAGAGATTAAAAATATTTTATTGGGTTTTTGGTAAAAGTTTACATAGCAAAGTAGGTTTTTATTTAACAATTTTGATAGAAAGTATGCCTTGGTGGCATCGTGCTTACGCATTGGACTGCTAATTGGTCAGCAGTTCGCAACCACAAACCACTTCTCAGAAGATGAAGCTTTCTACTCCTGTTATAAACTGGAATTGACTCGATGGTAATGAGTCTGGTTTTTTTGAGTTTATACATAGGAGGAAAAGTAAAAGTGTATTGCTACTAGGGGTCCAGCTCATACATGTAAATATTTATTCCAAACAAGATGTGTTTAAAAACATCTCTGTAATCAAGGAGATGTTTGTAGACAAGTGGTCTCAGTAATACACTTGTCTTAGTCTAGTTAGAGTGCCTTAAAAAAAAGGCCTAATCAAAATATCAAAATAGTGGCTTCCCTGAGGAGGGACTCCTTGAGGAGTCCCCCAAAATAGACTTCAGGCTAGGAGAGGCACTTGCAGAATTCCTTCAGGACCAGCGGACAGACCTGTATGCTTTTTCATTTTCTTTTGCTAGTATTTTTCTCTTTTTATTCAATCTTTTGTTTTCTTTTTGTTTTGTCTCCATTATTGTTGGTTTGGCCTACCTATATAAGATAGGCATGGAAGCAAGCTCAAGGAGAAAGCAACGGGACCAACGGTTCCAGAGGGACTTAGGGGGAGGAGGAGGCATGGGAAGGGAGCGGGGATTAATCAATGCCATAAACAGGGGAACAACTAGGGAATTAAAATCAGCAATGAGGAGGATGTAGAGATCCTGGGGGTGTTCCAGCAACAACAATCTAGCTGAGAGGAATTATTAAGAGGCAGAAGAAGGCCAAGCGTGATGGTGGGACAGGAGGAAGGTAAAAGGAAACAGAGGAAAGATCTAGGAAGCAGAACTATGGATAGAGGTATAAACATAGATGTGCACATATGCAAATATATTAATTCATAGAAATAGAAGTATTGGCATATGTTCATATATTTATATGGCCATACACCGAGGAAGTGGATGGACTTTGGGTCTCTGCTCAAGCTCTGCCTCAATGCAAGAACACTTTAAAACTTGGTATTCTGTGATGCTCACTCTCCCAGCACGATCGCTGAAGATAAAATGGGTGCATAATGTGGTGAAGAAAGCTGATGGTGCCTGGTTATCAAAAGATATAGCGTCTGGGATCTTAAAAGCTTGAAGTTAAATAAGCAGCTATCTAGCAGAGAAGCAACGAGCCCACGTGGAATAATCACACCATCCTGTGAGATCATGAGGTGTCCATGGGATCCGGTAACAGGCATCAGAAGACACCCCCCCCCAAAAGAAAACAAACCAAAAAAACCCTATTGTTGAGAATGAGGGGGGTCGGAGCAGAGACCCCAAATCCATCTGTAGAAAATGGGACATCCCCTCACAGAAGGGTCACAAGGAAGGGATGGGGCAACCAGGGTGCAGTATAGCACCGATGAAACACACAGTACCCCTCTGGTTCCTTGAGGCTTCCTCACCCCCCACTATCATGACCCCAGTCCTGCCTTTTAGTTCTGGCTTGACTGAAGCATGTACACAGGTATAGATAAGAGCTTAAGACACAGGGAATCCAGGAACAGGAATGGGAGTAGTGGTATCAGGAGGGTAGGGGGAAGGTGGGGAGAGGAGGGGAGGAAAAGGGAACTGATAGCAATGATACATACATAACCACACCCGGCCCCCCAGGGTGACAGACAACTGAAACCATGGGGGAAGGGAGACAGTGGTCAGCGTAAGATATGGAAATAATAATAATTTTTAATTTTTAAGGGGCCATGAGGGGGGAGGGGAAGGAGGGTAAAAATAGGAGCTGATACCGAGGGATCAGATAGAAAGTAAATCAGCGGTTCTCAACCTGTGGGTCGTGATCCCTTTGGGGGTCGAATGACCCCTTCACAGAGGTTGCCTAAGACCATTGGAAAACACATAAGTATTTCACAATATATAATTACATATTGTTTTGCGATTAATCACTGTGCTTTAATTATGTTTAATTATGTTCAAGTTGGAACAATGAATACATCCTGCATAGCAGATATTTATATTACTATTCATAACAATAGCAAAATGATAGTTATGAAGTAGCAACGAAAATAATGTCATGGTTGCGGGGTCACGACAACATGAGGAACTTTATTAAAGGGTCACGGCATTAGGAAGGTTGAGGACCACTGAAGTAAATGCTTAGAAAATAATGATGGCAACATATGTATAAATATGCTTGATACAACTGATGTATAAGAGCTTGTTATAAGAGCTCTAAGAACCCCTAATAAAATAATCATAATTCATAGTGGCTTCTGAGGGGATCAGCTGGGGAAGTTAAATTTAAGGCCCAGGGGTCCATTCAGATGGTTATGGGGACTGCTCTTTTGGATTCCAAAGGGGATAATCCTGATGGATTTTCTCACACGCAGGATGATTGCAGGGGCTTATTAGGAAGAAGTTTCCCTACCTCTGCCCCAGGAAGAAGTTTTATGAAAACTGAAAACTGCATTTTTTTTAAAAAGGTCAGAAATACCTTGAGCCAAGATATTTTTCCCCAATCAAGACATGCACCTAGTCATTCTATGAAGGTAGTGGGGATTTATTTGGGAAACCTTACCCTAGCCATTCTATATACCTGATCTTGCCCCTTCAGACCTCTTTTATTTTCCAAAGTCAAAGAACATTTAAAAGGAATACGACTTGAGCTCTGGTGAATGCCCAAACTGTCATTTTAATGTGGTACAAACGGAAGAGTGCAGACTTCTTCGGACGAAGGGTTAGAGAGATGGACATAGACCCTTTGAAGTGTATAGACCTAGTTGGAGGATATGGTGAGAAATAATAGCTTCACATCTCGATATTTTGTTTAATGAAAGTTCTTATGAATTGTAGCAATACTTTTGACTCATTCTTTAGTGAATGGCTACACATTGACTCTATTTTTCACAAAGTGTTAGTATTCTCATTATTTCCTTCTCATTATTTGGTCTAGGTTAGAGGTATACTATTTGATTTTATTTAGATGAATATTAGAAGAGCACAGTTCTCATAAGTGGTATTTATTTTCTGAGCCAGTCTTGTTAGTTGGCTGGAAAGTGACCTACCTCTAGGACTGGTCTGAATGCCAAGTTTAAAAGATTCCCTGAGTGACCGTCTCAGGGGTTTCTCTAGTCTTTACCGATTCCATTGGTCTGCACCTGGCTTTTGGAAACTTGAGTTTTGCTCTGCTTTTCTCTCCTATTGTATCTGGGACCATGTATTGTGTCCTTGGACAAAAGAGTAGTTGCAGCTAGACACCACCCAGTTCTTCTGGTCTCAAGGTCATTGTTGATTGCTGGTGCAGAGTGTTAGTTTTTTTTAATCCACAAAATTTCATTTATTTGCAATTATAAATAAATATTTCACAATATATAATTACATATTGTTTTTGTGATTAATCACTATGCTTTAATTATGTTCAATTTGTAACAATGAAAATACATCCTGCATGTCAGATATCGACTTTACGATTCATAACTGCAGCAAAATGACAGTTATGAAGTAGCAAGGAAAACAATTTTGTGGTTGGGGTCACCACAACATGAGGAACTGTATGAAAGGGTCGCAGCATGAGGAAGGTTGAGAACCACTGCCATAGATAATGGTATTCTGTGAGGTTAGAAGCAAAACCATACACTAACTGGGTTACACCTTCAGATCTCTGTTAGTCTCTTTTAAATAGCAACTATTTGGACCATCCCCCTGGGAGGGGGTTATATGTAGATCATTGTGATCAGTTCCCCCTCTCCTCACCCCTCATCCTTCCCAGTATTGCTACTCTCCATATCGGTCCCGAGGGGTTTATCTATCCTGGGTTCCCTGAGTTTATAGACTAGTTTCTTCTTTGAGTCTTTGGTTTCTCTTTCATCTTTTACTCTGGATGAGTAGAGACCAGAAATTGCTTCTTAGATGACTGCTTGCAAGTTTTTCAGACCGCAGATGCTACTCATCAAACTAGGATGTAGAACATCATCTTTATGAACTATATTGTATTAACTGACCAATGAGACAGTGGTCTTAAGCTCTCAAATACAGTAAACCAATCTTGTGAGATGTTTGGTTATGTCTCGGAAGTGTCTGTAACTGTGGCCGCTATACGTTTTGTTTCATATATGAGTATATAAAGGAGCTTCAAGAAGTTTGTGGGCAAATAGGATTAAAAGATAATGGAATTTCTTCATGAATGTTTTGGAAACTGCCTCATATATGTAGCATTATAGATAAAAATGTATATACATATGCCTACAGATACACCTATATGGGCACATACACATTTGTATATTCACACATGTGCCTTCTTATATATAAACAATACATAATTTAGTTATTCATACTATTGTTGCAAAATTGCATATATTATAGCCTTTACAAAATCATTCTCTATCGTCATGTACTGCTCATTGTCAGCCTTTAATTTAGCTAAGTTGTGCTGACTGCAGCCTTACTTGGTATTG